CCGCCAGCAGCCAGTAGTCATGGCGACGGTGCCAGATGTCGGCCATCTTGCCGGACGACAGCGCCGCCCGCTCCTCCGTCTGCCACAGCGTGTGTAACTCTGAGACGGGAACACATCGATTTTGGGTTCGCTTTGGCATTGGCTCTTCACATGCGACAAAGAACGGCAGCGAGGCGTCCCATCCTAACAGGCGATCACTCACCTGTAAAGCCTCCATCAGCGATATTGAACATGAACTTGGTTTTGAATCCGTTCTTGTCCTCCTTCCTGGCATCGTCCGATTCATCCGGCGCGTCTTTGTCGCCATTCAGGCGAGTGTCCGCAGTGGCAGCGTCCTCGCTTTTCACCTCATCTGCACCAACAACACACAGGAAGAAAAAGGAAAAAAGGAGAGGGAAAAGGTAAAAAAAAAAAAAGACTTGTGATGTCCATTTTCTAAATTGAGCTTTTTTCAAATTTTGCTGGAGTAGCATGCCTGCCACCTTTATTGCAGGTCTGCACTTTTTGAAGCAACGATACAACACATTGTATTTATGTCAGATTATCTGGCGGTCCCCGATTTGAGAAACGGTGCCCTTGCATCCTGACCTGCTTTGCTTTCCTTCTCCTCGCCGTCTTCTCCCTCGGGAGGCTTCTCCGCTTCTTTGGCCTGACTCTCACTTTTAGGCGAGTCCTGACCAACCGTCCTCTCTGCCGGTTTGTCCTCTTTGTCGTCTCCTCCCGTTTTCTCCTCGGAGGCCGCCTTGCTGTGGTCGCCGTCAGCCGCTTCCTTCTCCTTACGTCGGTTCGTCTCCTCCTCCTCCTCTTCACATGCATGCGCCGGCTCCGCACATGTCTGCACGGATGCGAAAACAATGCAAAAAAAATGAGGGTGTAACAATTTCATACACGTTGTCCATTTCAAGAAGAAAAAAGGGACGTACTTCTTGCTCCGACTGTTTCTTGCCGTCTTGCTCAGCTGCGTCCTTGTCCTCAACGGGACCCTCCAACTTCTCTGCAAAAGCCCAAAAGACAAGGAATTGCTGCATTCAAGGAGAATGGGAAATGAGACAGTCCTGCCACAGAGCCGGCTCGCCCAGTTGCCACCCCCCCCCCAAAAAAAAAAATCAACATCATCTGTGCTATTTTTTGCGAACCTGGCGGGTTGGGCGTCCCGGGCTGGGTGGCGACCGGGCTTGCCTGTAGGGGGGTGTTGGGGTCTGACGAGACACTCTCGGTCAGTTTTTTCAGCTCCATGCCAATGGGGATCAAGTCTGGCGAGCTCAGCTTTCCGTTGACGTGCTCAAACTCTTGCACCTGCCATCCATCCACATGTAGGCAATCAATCATTCACACCTACAATCACACCAATTGCACACTACAGTACGGTGCCATATAATAGCAGACAGTAATAAACGTCATTCAGTCGAATTTGGAGAATGAATCAGTTTGCATGTCATGATTTCATGCTTGAATTCAAAAGAACTCCTTCTGGTGTGCACAACTTGGACACCAGGCGGCAGTATAATACAAAAGAAACACCTACAGGAAAAAGATGGTCGCAACAGCTCAATAAACTATTGTACTATTTAGTTGTATTTCAGAGGATAAAGAATACATCCCTGCGAGTATTGTTATATTGTCTGTCTACATGTATGGCTGCACTGTTTGTGTTCAAATATCAGTTTCTTAAAGTAGTGGTCCACAACCATCGACACATTTGGTATCGGGCCAGAGAGACAGGAAAAAAAAGTTTTTTATTCACTCATTTTATTTTGCAGCAGAGCATATACGCCCAGATCGGGATTGTACATCATATGTTGGGTGCAGTCGGCATTGACCTTTTTCCTGACCAGCGACATGACCCCGATCCTGGTGAGCACGTGCTGTCGGGACAGCCCCTCGCGCGGAACACCGTCCGCAAACGTCTCCGCCCCGTCGGCACCCGGCTCGCACAGGTGTCTCATAAACAGAGACACGTAGGCCCTGGTCACATCACAATGACAACGATGGCGTGTAGTCATTGAAATGAACTGCTCATGGTGAAATATCCCCCCCAAAATGGAGGAAACCTTCAATTTCCCTTCACTGTAATAACATTCAATTATGTCATTTGGGAAACTTGGTTCTCTTTGATCAACCGGATTTGAATACTGAATTGGTCCCTTGTCTTAAGTGTATTTTTCATTTGTGTTCGAATGTGGTGATGAAACCACTCCAAAATGGAGTGTCACCTGAACTCGCGTTCGCTCTTCCCTCTCAGGTCTCGCACAATCCAGTGGGAAGTGAAGGCGTCCTGGGGAGGCATGCCCCAGCGCATGATGGCGTTCAGGAAGGCTTTCCTCTGCCGGGCGTTGAAGCCAAGAACCTGAACAGCAACGTGTGTCCCACATCACATCAGACACACGTACGGGGCAGTGAAAACATTTTTTGACCCATGCCTCCAATCATCCGTTTTTCTGACCCTAAATCTAACCATAAAAAGTCAGACTTTTGTTTCATTGCAACTCAGAAAATTGACTTGAGTAACAAAAATAAAAGCTATGAAATGAGGAATAGAATACATTTTCACATAAGGCCAGACATGTTCGTTTTTGCCTCTTATTAGATAAGATTGTTTGGCGCTAAAATCAGCTTGATGATCATGCGATGAGTAGGGCAAAAAAAAAAAAAAATCCCAAAAGAGAAAGGGAGCAAACACTTTTGCATGCTGGTGACGCCTGCACGGTCCTGGTACAGTTTTTACCTCGATGCTGCCGCCGACTCGGGCCAGCAGGGGGGGAAGGGGCTTGTCTTTGTCGTTCCTCAGATGGCGGCGAGAGTGTCGGCGCCCACCTGCAACAAAGACAAACAGTCAGTCAAATCCAAATGGTAAATATATTTTATGGCTCGCATTTTTGTAATCCCCTGCCTGGTGATTCGCTATTTTCACCGCATTTTTTGCCTTTTTTTTATTTTTTATTTTTTATTGTGGAACTTCTATTTATTTACAGTTACGTCCTTGCAGCATGGTTAATTAATGTTGTAAAATGAGTTTGAAACGATATTATATTGTTTTGTATAATAGTTGGCTGAAGATTACGGTATTGTGTCGCAGACACTCACCAGACACTTCAATCGGTACACTTAACGACTGATCTACTGAAAATTGCTTACGTCGACCTTTAGCCGATGTCCCTAATAAAGTGTCCCTAATGAAAAGGAGCGGAATACCTTCCGGCCGCTCCTCGAAGTCTTCGTCCTCGTCCTCGGACCCCACCGAGTACTCCGACTGGTTGTCTGAAACATCATCCTGCCACTCTGAGCACCACACATCAGAGACGACAAAGTACATTGCTTCCGTCGGATGCCACCCGGGGGCGTCGCGCCAGCCAGCTCAACGAGCGCGCCCTGGCTTTTTAGCAAGTCGGAGAGGGTGCTCTCCAAAAATGTTGAACCTCTCTTGGTGGCTGAGCGCTTGAGGAGAGTCCTCATGGCGGAACTCATGTACTTGAAAGATCACACTCATGGAGGTCAAAAGCTGTCATTGAAATTCATCAAGCTGGGAGGACGGAAGAAATACGCGCACGTTCTGTGCTGACGTTCTGGTCGTGGACGCCGATGAAACCGCCTTCAGGATGAAAATCCAGGAGTGCAAAAGCTAAGATGGACTCATTTGATAGAGTATGTACAGTATGTACGTAATGTAATGTAATGTAATGGACAAGCGCGCCTTCCACGTGGCATCAAACAACAGGACTACCAAAAACGTACTCGACACACGAGCATGACAAGTTCATTTGCGGAATCATTTTGTCGAGACAAATACAGTGGGGACTTTCCAGTCGAAAACAATCCGCTCCAATGTGAGGCCATCGCTGTCTAAGAGGTTACAACTTGCATTTTTTCGAAGCATATCATTCCGATTGTCCCCCCCCCCCTCCCTTTTCCATTGTAAAGTTCCACTGTAAATGTACAAAATGTCCTGCATCCTGAACGTGACTCCGACGCGCCACTATGAAAGATGAACCCCGGGGCGCTAACGGCAACCGCAGATACGGTGCTGGCCTTGTTTGGCGACGCCTACCTTGGTCCTCCTGGGTGGTGTCGTTGTAGTTGACTTGTTTGCGGATGCGCTTGCCCTTGCCGAGGTTGCGGGCCAGATCCTCCTGCTGCTGCTCGTAGTGGTGGCGCAGGAGCTTCTCCCAGTAGTCCGGGTCCACGTTCTCTTCCTGCTTAATGATTTCGCGCTCCACCTCCTCCTGCACACGTACACACACACACACACACACACACGCACGCAGGTTGCCAAAGGCCTTGCTGAGCTAACTTGGCGCTCTACATCTTTACTCAGTGCTAGTCATACAGATGGACTCAAATGCACAGTCTTTTTTTTTTTTTTTTTTGTGCCCTCACAAGTGGCTCTTCCTCACCTCTCCGTCCTCCTCTTTGACCACGTACTGGGCCACCTTGAAGGAGCTGAGGTACTCGTTCATGTTCTGGATCTCCGTGTCTTCCGTGGCATCCTGGCTGCGGTCCAGGAGCTTGGAGATGGCGTCGTCGTCGTAGTGGATCACGTTGCCTTCCTCGCCGTCTTTGTTGTCGCCTGACGATGATGGAGGGGCAGAAAGAAACATTTCAATCAAATTACTGGAAAAAAAAAAAAAAAAAAAAAAAAAAAAAAAAAAAAAAAAAAAGAATGGTTAGCAGCGTTTTACTTATTACTGTGGTTGTAGTTCCTGGTGTTAGGGTTAGCAACAATTAATAAAAACAAATGGGCTACACTGTTCATGAAATAACACAATATTATGTTTAGGAAATATTATTAAAAATAGACAAACACAAATATTTTATTGAATATCTCTATATTAATTTATGAATCACATTAAGGACTGTTTTTAATATCTTGATGACCTTTTTCGATTTATCCATGTGAAAACAGCATTCATTTTATCCCCTGCGTGTGGAGAAAAACATGAAGAAAAATAGGAATTGTTGTGCAGTGTGGCACGGCCGTACCCCCCATGGTGCGCGCCGCCTCCATCTCGTCCTTGAACAGCTCCTCCGTGCCAAACTTGAGGATGTCGTCCAGCTCCTGCTTGGACATGGAGCCCGTCTTGGAGCCCAAGCCGGGCCGCACCACCAGGTGGGTCAGCATCATCTTCCTCTTGGCTACTTGAGTGATCCTCTCCTCCACCGAGCCCCGCGTCACAAAGCGGTAGATCATCACCTTCCTGTTCTGGCCGATGCGGTGCGCTCTGCTAAAAGCCTGAAAAGAAGCCACCGTCATCAGCAGTAGACTAAACATACCCCAAAAAAAAAAAAACGATGATTCCGTTTCTTTTGTTATTTTCATTTGATGCTAAATAAATCAGAAATAAGGTGAAGGAAGTTCTTACTTGGATGTCATTGTGAGGGTTCCAGTCTGAGTCGTAGATGATGACGGTGTCTGCGCTGGCCAAATTGATTCCCAGGCCTCCGGCTCGAGTGGAGAGCAGGAAGCAGAACTGCTGAGCGCCTGGTGCTGCAACCCGAGAACGCAAAGGTAATTCTGGGCGCGTGTGACCTCAAGTGTCATTTACAGAACACGTCAACCCGACTGCAGATGAACAAAGGCAGCACTCACATGAATTACAGTCACTAATTCCTTGACGGCGTGGTTTCTCTCCCACGACTGAGCAAAACCCACCGTTAAAGCGGTCGATGGCTTCCTGCCTCAGGCCTCCGGTGATGCCGCCGTCGATGCGCTCGTATTTGTAACCCTCAAACTCTAGGAAGTCCTCCAGCAGATCCAACATCTTGGTCATCTGCACAAAAATCCCAAACGATATTTATTGATAAAGATATGGAAAATGCGCAGCTGTATAATCAGTACAAACAAACAAAAAAAAGGGAAACCTTTTTGAGAGGGGGCGCCAAAATAAACAACAAGATAGTGTGTCGAGGCTCCAAACTGCGTGTAAATGGTGGCCTTTTGCGCCTAAAATTTACGACAGTGCAAGTACATTTGTCATTGACTAACGATTGTGCGACCAGTAAATTTGCTGATAATACGGTGAAAAGGAGTGGAGTGAATATTTCCTGTGCGACTTGACTGAAAGTGTGCGCCACAAATGTTTCTACTTGCGCTCCTAAAATTTCAGGCTGGGGCAACTGTCCTCCATGTCAAGAAAGTTAGTGTGGAGCCCGCTGACTTTGCACAAAAGTGCACACCCCTCTGTGTTCTGAATGAACCAATAACAATCAAATTCATGTTGACGTGGAGTCCGTCAACAAACACTTTTGCAGTGCCTTGGATTAGAAACGATAGATCCACTTTGGCAACATTCAATGGGCCCAATTCGAGAACGGCGTTCTACTATGCCTGCCCTTACCTGTGAGAAAATGAGAACTCTGTGGCCTTCGTCCTTGAGCTTCTTCAGCATTTTCTGGAGCAGCGTCAGCTTTCCCGACGACTTGACCAACTGGTTGCCGTCGTACGAGCCGTTGGGCAAAACGGGAGCTTCCTACAAGAGAGAAGCGCCCACGTCAGTGACCCCCACCCCCGCTCGGCTCTTCAAGAAAACATCTCCGCACGCAGTCGCACCACAGCAGCAACGGGGAAGAGGTAGGGGTGGTTGCAGCACTTCTTCAGGTCCATCATGATGTTGAGCAGGGACACTTGGTTGCCGCCGCCTTTGGAGTTGAGGGCCTCGAAGTTCCGCGTCAAGATGAACTTGTAGTACTTCCTGATGGGGCGAGAGCACAAAATCACCCACTGTATGCATCGGGGCTGCCAATAGAACAAACACAACTCACCAAACTAGTCCCTAGTATCGCGCTGGGCCATTTAACAGTGAACCCGTACATATATGTGCTGCATCTTCATATATTCGCCCATGGGTGGTTTTTATTCTCCGTGAATGGATGAAAAACTCACCTGTCCTACTTTAATGCCATCTTGTGGCCAAGGAACTCTGTTGAAGTGACGGAAGGAGCCTTCATTTATTCAGGCCATAGCCCTGTCTAATCGTCTAGTCTTGTTTAGTCGAGCGACATCTGCGGGTTGAGTAGATTTCAATTACAGGGCTCAGTACCTATCCCCTGTGAATAGCGGGGGCGCGCTGTATGAGTCCTATTTATATATATTTTTTTTTTTGAGTGGGGGAGAAAGGGGTGAGGGGGATTATGGCAAATTTTCCAGAATAAAGGACGTAACATAAAAGAATAAAGGGGCTTCTTTTGAAATGCTTTCTTTGATTGCTCAACTAAGACTTTTCAAGATGCTAATATTACAACTTGGAAAAATCCATGTTTATTGCCAGATTTGGGACTTTTCATCTCGACATAAAACAGCTTTGTTACTGTGAAATTAAAAATGTTTCTACCTTCAAAATTTTTGAATTTATCTCATGACATTGAAATTTTAAAAAATTAATAACTTTTTTCATTCCTCTGGCATGTAGGCGTACAGTACCAATGGTAGTTATTTTTTGTTGCATTGGATCATGAGGAGATCCTTGGAAAACCTCCTCCCCCGGACTCCGAAAATGTTGAGAACCTCTGTTTTCCATAGATTTGACATATTTTGCGGCACCACTGACTTCTGCATGGGGCTGAGCTCCACCCGCACGATCAGCTCCGTCTTGGCCGGCATGTTCTTGAAGACGTCCGCCTTGAGCCTTCTGAGCATGTGCGGGCCCAGCAGGTCATGCAGCTTCTTGATCTGGTCCTCCTTGGAGATGTCGGCAAATTCCTCCAGGAAGCCCTCAAGATTACTGCGCAGTATTTAAAAAAAAAAAAAGAATGACTCTCACTAAGAATCCATGCGATGGACAATCAATAACGGTTGCTGTCCAGTCACTGGAAAGTCAGCCACTGACTTGCACAAAGGTGGGATTTAGTCACGAGAACCTCCGCAATGGATGTAATGGGTGTAATGCATGCCGACTGAGTAAACGGAACAACAGACGATTTGAAGCAGCCGGACGTACTTGAATCGCTCCGGCGTGAGGAAATTGAGCAAGTGAAAAAGCTCCTCCAAGTTGTTCTGAAGAGGAGTTCCAGTTAGCAGCAGCTTGTAGTAGATCTTGTAGCCATTGAGGATTCTGAAAAACTGCACGGGACAAGCTTACAGTAAGAGTACGCACAGAGCCGGCCCACGCCTTCAGGGGGCCCTGAGCAAAGTCGGATTTTGGGTCCCCCTTTTACCACCAACAATTTACACATGGGCATCCAAATACACATACAAGCACTTTACCCAAATGGCAAACAGGCAAACCCGTCACGACAAAGTACGCTTCAGCGGCTAGAAGTGGCTCCATCGGCAGCAAAGCAAAAACATTCTTCAAAACATCATCGTTACTTGTGACTGTGTGTAAGGTGCATTGCAGGACTGCCCCCCCAACCCTGCTGCCCGACAAAAAGAGGACATCTCAAAAAAACAGTGAAACAAATGAAATAAACCTAACAATGACCCCAAGACTCCGCCAGATGGCGCCAAAAATAATGATTTGATCACTAGGGCAAAAACAATCATTACACCGGCAATTTCTGTCAAGTACTTTGTTTTTCTTCCATCCTCCAGGCTCTGTTGATTGTTGATTTCTATTTTTTTTTTAGTGGTTGTGGAGCCCGAAGCCCGATCCCTCATTGTTGTAGCTTTACCTTTGACTGGTTGTTCTTCAGCCTGTGTGCCTCGTCCACCACCAGGCAGGCCCAAGTGATGGATCCCAGGATGGCTTGATCGATGGTAATCAGCTCGTAGGACGTGAGCAGCACGTGGAACTTGATGGGCGTGTCTTTCTGCGAGACGCAAGAACACTTGGAGACGCGAGCTCGTGTTTTTAATCACAAGAAAGTAGGCGAGGGCTTCACGCAACCTTCATGCGGAAAGCTTTGCGTCCCAGCTTGACGGCGCTGTCCTCGAAGGTGAACTCGTTCTCCCGGATGATGGCGCGGCTGTCTTTATCGCCGGTGTAGGTCACCACGTAGAAGTCGGGGGCCCACATCTCAAACTCCCGCTCCCAGTTGATGATGGTGGACAGCGGCGCGCTCACCAGGAAGGGACCTTTGGAGTGACCCTGGATGACCGCAGCGCACACGTTCACACACAGTTTGAATTTTTGGCAAGCACAAGGACGGACGGGGCTCACCAACCTTTTTGAAAGTGAGAGTTACGACTTGAGAAGTGATTCATGCAAGGGGCTACTAGTTTGATACACACTTGTGAAATACCAAATGTTCCTTTAATTTGTCAAAATGTTATTTATAATTCATGATATTCGCTCAAGAGAAGACATTGATCATGATAATGATGTTTCACAATAATAAAAAAAAAAAACAGACCTATTAAGAGGCAACAATTGACTCTGATAAAATGTTTGTGGATCGTGATTTGTGGACGTTTGTTTTGCAGAAGTGTGGCATGTATTTTTGTTGTATTTTTACTACACAACACTTACCTCGACGTTTATTTTATGTTGCAAACAAGAAATGCGCAAAACTCTCAAAGAGCAAAAACTAATACTAAAATGAATAAAACCAAAATAAAAAAATAAAAAAACATCTACAAACCCACGAAATTGAAAAAGCAAAACTCAACTCTCACGAAAAATCCCCAAACTATTTGGCAGTCTAACCCTGATCCAAATTGTGTTAGTGTGTGGAATATGGTTGACCTCTTTGTAGAGCGAGTAGAGGAAGACGATGGTTTGCACCGTCTTGCCCAGGCCCATCTCGTCGGCCAGGATGGTGTCGGTGCCCTGCGCCCACGAGAAGCGCAACCAGTTGAGACCCTCCAGCTGGTACGGGTGCAGCGTCCCCCCGGTGGCGTTGATGTACCACGGCTGGTGCTCGAACTTGATGGTCGGCTGCGGAAGCCGCGGTTGCGAACCGTCGGTTAGTCACGGCGGCCCACGGGGAAATTCTTCTTGTCGATCTCGCGAGCTTACGTCAATGATGGGAGCGTCCGGAGGGATCTCCCTCTTAGGCTGCTCCTCTTTTAGCGTGGGTCCTTTCGACGGCACCACGGGGCGCTGGTCCTCGCCTAAGATTTGCTCCCTAGACGAAAAAAAACGTGGCTCTTCGCCTGCCTTACAGAAATGATTGTGATGCCAACTGGGACTTTGGCGTACCTGTGGTCCCAGTAGGACGCTTTATGGCTGTCGTATTCCGGCACGTCGAAATCGTCCACCTCCCACGTGCACTGGTCGTAAGGGAGGTCTCGCCACTTGATCAGGTAGTGCACATCCCCGTCTTTGTCAAAGCTACGCACACGCACACACATCGGCAGGGCACATTTTGACTTTGCTACTGTCCCTCCACTTATGCCAAGAATATAAGAGATATTAAAGAGCAATTTTAAACCATGAAATATAAATATGGAAGAAAAAATAAGGGCAATGTTGAAAAAAATGTTTGTTCCAACTCAGCGTGTATATTCTGGTTTCAAACAAGAGTTTAAGAAGCTAGGTTAAGGTTTCAAACATGGCTTAGGTGTCCAATTGGAGTTTCAAGCCAAGGTTGAGGTTTCAAACAAAGCATTATGGAGCTTTATTAGGATTTCACACAATGGTGAAGGTTTTAAAGTAAGATTTTTAAGGCCAGTGAAAAATTCCAGCTCAGCGGGAGGCAGTGGCGCACCTGTGGTTGACAACGCGGTGGATGATCATCCACTCGGGCTTGATGCCGTATCGGTAGAAGCGCTCCTCCATGGCGGCGTACTGCGGGTCTTTGCTCTTGCGCTTGTCGCTGTTGAGCTCTTCCTCGCCGGAGCCGTAGTCGTACGGCGGTGGCTCATCCATGTCGTTCTTGCGTTGGTAGTTGCGGTACATCACCGTGTGGTAGAGTTCCAACTGCACAAGCGCATGCACACACACGCACACACAAAGTGTTTCAACGTGGGTTCCGGATTGCCCGTGTGGTAGAGTTCCAACTGCACAAGCGCATGCACGCACACAAAGTGTTTCAACGTGGGTTCAGGATTGCTAATTAGGGATTCAAATAGTGTTTCAAATAAAGGTTGCATGCCAAGGTTGGAGGTTCAAGACTGGTTTAGGGTTTCAAATTAGAAGTTCCTGACAGGTTTAGGGTTTCCTACAAGGGCAATGGTTTTCCAAGTGGGGCTTCAAGCCAGGACCATGGATTCAAATGAGAGGTGTGAAAAATTATTAGGGGTTGAAAGTAGGGTTTCAAGGCAGGCTTGGGGTTTTAAATAAAGATGTTGGTTTCAAAGATGGATTTCATGCCAAGGTTCGGGATTCAAACAAGGGTGGTGGTTTCAAGCTCAGGTTTGAAATCAGTGTGTGTGGGGTTTGTGTCCCAATGATTGTCACCTGCAGCTCGCTGGCCCAGGAGCAGTGCCAGTAGGACAGTCCGGCCCACTTGACCAGGAACTCCCGCTCGGGGTGGCCCTTGAGGGGCGGCGGCTTGTTCAGGGGGTCGGCGGCGGGGTGGCCGTCCGGGGCCGGCGGCGGCTCGGCGGGCAGCGGGGCCTCACCCCACATCCAGTGCATGATCTTTTGCACTTTGCCTTTCAGGGGCGGGCACTACAAATAACATCAATGCGGGGATGAAAATGTTTGAGCAAGCAGCAAGGCCAACAAAACATTCGTGAGACAGTCAGAACAAAAGTGAATTAACTCCATGGTTGTCATTTTGATGTTTAGTGCAGAAAGGAATTCTCGATTTATTTCCAACTTTGATAAATTGGAGGCAACGCATAATTGCACTCAGATGTCAGGAGTTTTCATCAGCGCAACACGCGGCCAATTTCGGAAAGCACATAAAAACATTTACAAAAAGAATTATCTTACTGGAAAGCTCAATAGCAAATCTATGCTATATTTCATGTATAGTGCATTGTTTTTCTTCTGCCATCTCAAATGATATATAGATAAAAAAGAAAAGGTGAGGGAGGGGTAGGAAAAAGAACAGCCCCTGTTTAAGCGCCTGTCGGACCACTGGTATGTGGCGCCCTCTAGTGGCACATGAAAAAAAATCAGTTTGTTGTATTTAACTTTCAAGTTCAACAATTATGATAGATAGATAGATAGATAGATAGATAGATAAAAAAGAAAAGAAAATGTGAGGTACGGGTAGGAAAAAGAACAGCCCCTGTTTAAGCACCTGCCGGACCACTGGTATGTGGGCGCCCTCTAGTGGCACATGAAAAAAATCAGTTTGTTGTATTTAACTTTCAAGCTCAACTATTATATTTGCATTTCATTTCTGAGAACTGAGTAGAAAAGTTAAAAGAAATCCGTCGTGGCAAACCATGGATGCATATATGCACATCGATCACATGAATCACAACTAATGAAGTGTATTTATGAGATATTATCAACAACTATGCACACATTGGTTGCATTTAGGTGAAACTCTTTGTGCATTTTCTTGGGCTCTTAGTTGCAGTGAATAAACGTCGGCTCACCAGACAGCGCGGACAAATCCACTCGCCGTTGGGTATCTCGGGCAGCGGCGGGTTGAGGCAGTGGATATGGTAGGAGGACGGACAGGCGTCGCAACACAGCAGCTCCCCGCCGTCCTTACACACTCGGCAAAACTCCATGTGGTCGTCCTCTTCCTCTCCGGCCGCCTCCTCCTCCTCCTCGTCCTCCTCGTCTTTGGCTTCCCACTGGATGCCCTCCTTCTCCTGCGGGCGCACAGTTTTAATAATAGCGTTGCTTTGGCACCATCTGGTGGTATATTTTTGGGCCAAGGAAACAAAGTCAGGTGAGTTGAGGAGCTTCACTGCAACAAAGTAGGCCTTTGCTATCATCTTGTGGCATCTGAAGGAAATGAAAACCCCTTCCTGGGGAGGATTACTCCAATTATTCTTACATACAGTAGGTATCAAAAATCTACACACCCGTGTTCAATTGCCAGGTTCTTGTGAGATTAAAAAATGACAAGATAAATCATTTTAAAACGTAGATTTTTTTTCCTTTTTTTATTTTGTCCAAAGGCAAACTAAAAATAAACAACAGAGATAAAGTAATTGCGTAAGTGGGCACATCCTGAGGTACCTGGGGTTGTGGCTGTTTTCCGATGAAACCAATCACATTCCAACATCCACCACCATCAATCAGAGGCATTTTACTCTGATTAACCTCAAAGTTCAGATGTTCGAGTCAGCTGTTCATGACGTTTCTTTTTTTGCTTTCTAGGAGAAATCTGAAGGTTTTGTACAAACACTGACTCCTGTTTCTAACTGTTGTCAAAGTCTTTTTGGTCATGGTCGTCAATGCTCCCGACGTTCACATTCCTCCATGTTGCTGTCTCTACTTTTTCAGCCTTATTAGACTCCCAAATTTGAATAAATGAAAATCTCAACCACAACCTTTACTTTTCTCTCTACATATGCCTTATTTTGATAAAAGTAAGAACTGTTTTCGACAAAGTGAAGAGTAGAAAGTATAATTCAAATGGAGGGAGAAAAAGTAAAAAGTCCTCTGAAAAATAAAATCATACTCGTGTACTGAAAAAAGTACAAAAACGTAGATTTTTTTTTCTTTTTTTATTTTGTCCAAAGGCAAACTAAAAATAAACAACAGGATGAAGTAATTGCGTAAGTGGGCACATCCTGAGGTACCTGGGGTTGTGGCTGTTTAGAGATGAAACCAATCACATTCCAACATCCGCCACCATCAATCAGAGGCATTTTACTCTGATTAACCTCAAAGTTCAGATGTTCGAGTCAGCTGTTCATGACGTTTCTTTTTTTGCTTTCTAGGAGAAATCTGAAGGTTTTGTACAAACACTGACTACTATTTCTAACTGTTGTCAAAATCTGTTTGGTCATGGTCCATGGTCAATGTCCTCTGAAAAATAAAATCATACTCGTGTACTGAAAAAAGTACAGCAGTGGAGTCGAAAGTGTCAGTGGTACTCACGCAGTGCGGACAGCTCCATTTGCCCTCGGGGGCCTTCTCCAGCTCAGGTTCCAAGCACACCAGGTGGTACGCCCGCGGACACGTGTCGCACAGGATGATCTCGCCGCCCTGCTGACAAACCTCGCAGTAGTCCTGGTGGTCCGTCTCGTAGCCGTCGCCGTCCTCCTCTGGAAGAAGAAGAGGCATTTCCCAAATGACGGCTACATTGATGGCTGAATGGCTTAGCGGGTGACTTAAAAATTTTCAACTTTGAGTGACACGATGGATCCTCAACGCCGGGTTCCAACGTACTTTTCCTCTTTTTGCGTCCCCGCCTGGCCTTTTTCTTGGCGGCGACGGCCCCCGAGGCCTCGCAAAGCACCGAGGCACTGAGAATGCTGATGTCGTCAAAGTCCGACTCGTCCAGGAAGTCTTCGTCACTCTGAAAGAGGAGCGCAAGCCCATTTGTGCGATGACTGGATGAACACCGAAAAAGAAAAGAAAAGAAAAGAAAATGTTGCCGAATGCCAGCAAGGCTCACCGAGGACGTCTTCTTCTTCTTCCCGCTTTGGCCCGACTTCGATTTGGTCTTCTTCGCCTTCACTTTCTTCTTCACGTCTTTCGCACTCTTGCTCCTCTTTCGAGCCCCGGGCCCTTGAGAGATACAGACCATATAAGTGACCGCCGATATACTCAGCCGACACTTTATTAGGCACAGCGGCACAAACCAATGCGATCGTAGTGGAGCTGTACGAAGAACCTGAAAGCGGCTTTTACTTTTACCTTTTCCCTCTTTGGTTTTGGCTTTTTTGATGGGCCCCAGCTGAGCGTTCAGCTGGCTCACAGAGGTGGGCGGCGCCACGGTGACCGTTTCCACTGCGGCGGCGACAGCGGCCGCCACGGCGGTGGCAGACGCGCCCTTGAATGGGTTGTTGGCGCTGAACTCGCGCCACTTGGCCCCCAGGACCGTCATCATCTTGGACATGGGGATCTTGGGGTTCTTCTTGGCAATGAGAGGCCTGGCGGGAACCAAGACGACAGCAGCAGAGATCATCATGGAAATCATTCCACTGCTCAACAGCAAACTGTAATCACAGAGGCCTTCATGTGTCCTGAAACGTATTGTGGGCATGTGATTTCAAACAGTTTTTTTTTTTTTCTAGTACTTGGGGTTTGGGAGAGATTTTCTTTTTCTATTTTTCAGTTTAACAAAATACGGAATTTACTAATTTTTTTTTTTTCACGAGAGTTATTAGACTGCCTACTTTTCATCAATTTCTTGCTGATTCCAAGGCCTGGAAGCAGGAAAGGTTAATCATAAGACTAACAGACAGAAAAAGAAAACATTGAATGTCCAAAAACACAGTTTATGGCAGTATAATGCCATAGCGATTCAAATATTATTATGGAAGAATTTTTGCGATGAGAAAACCAATGGAAAATGGCTGGATATCAGCGATTTTCTTGTCATGTTTTTTTTAACATCATAAAATCAAGTGTGATATTATTACAGAGGTGACAACCCACACGCTGTCATTTCAAATCAGCCTGGTTACTACTACGTGCATCTGCACGCAAACGATCAAACGAAATGCACATGGCCAAAAGCCCCACGCGCTTGGAAACCAGCTTTGCTGTGTCATGTTTGTCATTTGTCAGCCAACAGCTTGAGCTTTGGCATGCCGGCCCGCGAGAGACCGTCAGGTCCAAGCCCCCGGGAACCCACACGTGTCTCCTGCTGACTGCACGCATTGCCCTGCGCCCCCTGCTTTAGCTGCTCCAGACGGCCCCCAAGTGAGGATGGTCTGGGCTGACACAAAAGGGGGCGGTGTGCGCTGCTCCTCAGACACAGAAGAAAAAAAAAAAACTGCAAGCTTGCCTGAGAAACTGGCTGAAAGCTTTGTAGTTGGTGATGGTCTTGTAGTCGTCCTCGGTGAAGCCGTACTGGACGTCCTCCAGGCCCCACTCGTGCATCAGCTGGCTGGACGATTTGGGCTCCTGAGGGACACACGCGTAACGAGAATCAGGATAAATTTCAGAAAAGGGGCGATTATCAGGGTTATAATAGTTTGGGATTTTTCATCACTGTTGGTCTTTATCTCGTTTTTACTTTTGTTTTTTGTCGATTCAAAATTTGTTATTAGGGCAGCTTTTTTAGTTTCTATTTATTTTTTCAAAAAATGCTTTGTTTAATTTAGTTTTTATGATTTAAAAAAAAAAATATGGAGAGAATTTGTCTGGTCACTAAATAGTAAGTAAAGTAAAATAGAATTCTCAAAAAACTGTTTGACCTCCCTTCTTCTGTACAGACATTGAGCAACACCAAAATTAATGCGTTTAAAATGTCCACTGCAAGATATCAGTTCATTTTGAATTATAAATACAAGATGTAATTTCAGTTTGTTTTCATTTTTGGAAGCATTTTCGTTTTATTTTACTTGGTGAACGAAAATATTTCAATTTTAGTTTTATTTTATTAGTTTGAGTTAACTGCAATAACCTTGGTGATTATTGTGGTGTCTCCTAAAGATTATGTATATAGATGACGAAGGGTGTGCAAAATGCTCCCCGATGTGCTTACAAAACCGGCAATCATAAATGTTAAACATGTTCAATACATACGATCACAAAACCTGATGCATACGGTCAACAGTTTGGATGAGCACAGCCCAAAACACGCAAGAGCTTCTTGTATATCTTCTTCTACTACTGCTCATCGTTCTTCTCTGTAATTTTCGGCACTTTGCTGCCTTTCACAGGTCAGGCTTGGTACTACCACTGACATCTGGCTTGGGGGAAGAGACTCTCAATTGCCAGTGGTAATATTGTTTTGTGTGTGCGCTATTGCAATATTGTTGTTTTCTCATCATGTTTGGGTTCTCACACATTCAGAAAATTAGTTACGATTTTGAAAATCGGTATGCGTGCGCAACTAACTTTCATGCTCCCGTTGTCATCGTCGTCATCCTCGTCTTCCTCGTCCCGCTTCTTCTTCCTGGGCTTCCGCTCTTTCTTTTCCTTGGGCTTCTTCTTCTTCTTCTTGGAGGGACTGAACATGCTGCTCTCGCTCCCGGAGCCTCGCTCGGGACGGTCCGCCTCGTCCTCCTCCGCCTCGGACGCCCGGTCCTGCTCGCTGTCTACGCTCACCTGGATGCCTCCCTGAGGACAAAATAATGAGCACTGTTCAGCTTTGGGCCATTTTAGGAAAGACCGAGGGCAGCAAACTGGGGGTTCGGTATCTTGCTCAAGGACACTTCGACAAGGTCGCAATGGCCAGGGATTGAACCACCAACATCCGGATTGGGAGATGAGAACTCTGTCACTGAGCCATGCTGCTCCAAATAGTAAGAAATCGCTTCAAGGGTTTTTGATGCTATTTGTTAGCCCATTCATGCCATTTCCCATTATCGGTTAGCATTAAGCTAGCACATAATAAGGTCAAATTCCAGGTTGTTTTAAATATAAAATATGTGATTGTCTTTTTTATCTTTAGTTTGACAGTAAGCTTCAAATGGGAGTTGCAAGAAAGAGCTTTTTGTACAATTTGATTTTTTTTTTGGGGGGGGGGGGGTATTTTGAACCTGAAGAATTGCTGTTATATCTGTAAACTCAGATGTTTGTGGATATGGTTGTTATGATGCTGCAATGGTAAAACAACAAATCCAATGGTAGTCTTTTGCACGTAAAAGAACAAAGAGAACATCTCTGTCATGTAAGCGATGAGACATCTGGAGGGCTGCATGATTCAACACCGGCCAGGTGTTTTTGTGCCAGAAAGCACATCCACGGTGTGTGTGTGTGTGTGTGTGTGTGTGTGTGTGTGTGTGTGTGTGTGTGTGTGTGTGTGTGTGTGTGTGTGTGTTTGTTCCATCCTTCATTGTGTGTGAGCGTGTGTCTATGTTAGCATATTCATGCATTCGTGTTTTCCTTCCTCTCACATCTGCATGTATTTTCAGTCTCTTCTGTTTGTGTTTCTTTCATGTTGTGCATATTAAAGTGAAGCATGTGTGTGTGTGTGTGTGTGTGTGTGTGTGTGTGTGTGTGTGTGTGTGTGTGTGTGTGTGTGTGTGTGTGTGTCTGCAGCCTGTTGCTTCCATAGACACACACACACACACACACACACACACACACACACATACACTTGCGGGCGTTTTCGCTCTGTGGCGCAGTGGAAAGGCTCGTATTGCCGCAGCGCCCGCCAACCCTTTACCAGCAGACTGGCAGTGTTGCCATGGCGACCACATTTGAGCAGTCTCTCTCTCTCTCTCTCTCTCTCTCTCTCTCTCTCTCTCTCTCTCTCTCTCTCTCTCTCCCTACTTTTGCTGTCATTCTCATCAGCCCCCCCAACACAGAAATGCACGCACACACACATACGCACATTCAAAACCCTGCCACTGTTCATTTTCCATCACTTCCTCTGCTTGCACATCTCACCCCCATTTAATTTTCTTCTCTCACTCTTTCCTATCCTTCCGTTCACCCTGCACGCACGCACACACACACACACACACACGCACGCACACACACACACACACACACACACACACACACAGCAGCTATTAGAAGAGCACCATCCAATCACACTGCTCCGCATAACAAGCTTGTTATGCAGAGGCCCGCGCTTCTCCGCCAGCCACCACCGTCTAGACAAATCTCATTTATGCATAAGAAGAAAAAGAGGAAGAGGGGGAGGAGGGGAGTAAATTGAGGAGCGTAAATGGAGGAGGGGAGCAAGGCTGAAGAAACGAGCCGGGGAAGGCGAGGGCGAGATGGAAGAGACCCGCACGTGGCACAGGGGGCCAAAGAAGACAAAAGAGGAGGATGGTTGGCCCCCTCGGAGAGAGAACAATCAGATAACTGCTGATAGTCTAATCAAATTAGATGCTCCGGCATATTGGTTCTGCCTCGGAGGGGAAGACCGCAGTGCCGTGCGCACACAAGCCAGCCAATCAGCACACGAGTGAATATTATGGTCGGATCTCAAAAACAAGTCTTTGTCCTCACAGCTGAACTGTAAAATCAACACGGCGGGCTGATCTGAGACCTGCTTGGAAAACAGCCTCTCTTGGCTCCACACTGTAGCGCCTTTGTTTCACTCACTGCCCGTTGGATAAACAAGGAAATCCCGACTGGGATTCTTCTGGCTAACGGAAAGAAGGAACGAAAGTGAAGTGCTTGAAGACGAGGCAAGGATCATTGGATCATGACTCGTTTGGTTGGGAGGTTGGTTAGATTGATGACGGGATGATTTTAAGGTCGGATGTGGCTCCCCACACATTTTAGAGTCTTATTATTAGTTTCAAATCTTGAAATCTCCTCGCCCCACCTTACCCTCTCTGAGCTCCCCCGCACCTACCCCGTGCCTCAGGTTTGCGGACCAGACGCTATTAGAGGTACCGGCAAGCCCCCTCGATACCCAAACTCATTTTTATTCTTTGCCTTTTGACTCGGCATGAGACTTGATTTTTAGTTTGACTGTTTTTGTGCATTCTGCAGTCTTCATTATTCATTTATTGTTTTATTGTTAGGGCGGCCCGGTGGTCCAGTGGGTAGCGCTCGACCTCACAGTGCAGAGGTACCGGGTTCAATTCCAGCTCCGGCCTCCCTGTGTGGGATTTGCATGTTCTCCCCGTCCCTGCGTGGGTTTTCTCCGGGTACTCCGGTTTCCTCCTACATTCCAAAAACATGCATGGCAGGCTGATTGGACATTCTAAATTGTCCCTAGGTGGGAGTGTGAGCGCGGATGGTTGTTCGTCTCTGTGTGCCCTGCGATTGGATGACAACTGGTTCAGGCTGTCCCCCGCCTACTGCCTGAAGACGGCTGGGATAGGCTCCGGCACGCCCCGCGACCTTTGTGAGGATAAGCGGATCGGAAAATGGATGGATGGATGGATGGATGGATGGATGGATGGATGGATGGATGGATGGATGGATGGATGGATGGATGGATGGATGGTAGGTAGTAGAGTACACATAGCATGGCAGTATGTGTTGTCTGTGTCGTCCACCGAATCTCAAATGTAGCATTTAGCACAGTACGGCGTCTGGAGTAGCTAGTATGTACATATATGAACGATCTAATATGCAGTACTCGTGCTTAGGGACTCGTAGTTAATTGAAAGTGTGAAGCACAGAGTATGTTGCCGATCAGACAAGCGGCGGGCCTGTGTTGACTGACCTCCTTTTTCCGCTTCTTGATTTTGGCCACCTTTCCCTCCTTCATCTTCTTGCTCTTCTTCTTCTTCTGCTGCTGCTGCTGCTGCTGTTGCTGCTGCTTGAAGGAGTCGCCGTCTTCCGAGAAGAAGCCGCCGATAGACGCCAGAGGCAGCGCTGTGCGCGCGTCCTCCTCATCTGCACGCACGAAAAGAACGTTAGGCCTGCTACATCCAAAAGTATGCGTGTTAGGTTCGGTGAAGACTCTAAATTGTCTGCGAGGTGTGAATGAGTGCTTGTTAGCGCCCTGGCTCGTGCCCAGCGTGTACGCCACCTCACGCCCAAAGTCAGCTGGGAAAGACTTCATTCACCTGACCGCCACTTTAATGAAGACAAGCACAATAGAAAACAGGCGGATTGATTGTTTCCAAACGACGCCATAATACTGAAATTAGAACAACTCGGAATTCAGCCAGAAGAGATTGTGTTCCACTTGAGTTTCATTTGACTGCGGACAACCGAACGCTCCGATTGGGACGGAAACGATTGTGTGAATTTATGGCCAGAGCGACGTGTCCAATTCTGACGATAATCGCTTGTGCGTGAAAGTCAAGCGGCCATCGTGAAAACAAAACGTCAGAGCTGAGAGAAATGGAGCGCTAAGCAGGCAGCGGGGGACTCCCTTGCTTGGACCCCAGGCCTGCTGAGCGATTCCCAGCTGCCGCTTGTCAAAGTGTCTGCGTACAAACGAGCCCACTTGCTGAGCCGGGCGGCCCGCTTCGCCGCTGTCCCGGACCGACGACATGGCTACTAACGCGCGGCATGAATTACACGGCGCGTGGGATCAACCTGCCAACATTCGTCCGCCTTCAGGTCCAAGCAGGTTGAGTAAAACAAACAGTTTAGCGGCGCGAGCAGGAGGGAGACCGCCTCATGCAGTCACACATCACATTCCAGACACATCAGGAGTCGCCGGTTCTTCAAGTGGCCACATGGAGATGCTTGTTTTCAGTCGCTGGGGGGGCCCTCAGTTAGTCACAACTGCCATCTGGATGTCTACATTTGAGCCATGCCGTCTGCTAGCTTCTCTTGACTATTTCAGTGAACCCACAAATATTCACATTTTTTTTTTTTTTCTGGTCAAGCTAGCCACGATGTGCCGTTTATCAGACAGTGACACTGTTAACTAATCCTAATCCATACATCCAACAAAAGTCAAAGCGGCGCTGCTGTCTTCAAACTGCTTTATAAATAAATAAGATAAGGTACAAATACACGAGGGGCCATCAGGGACTTCATTCAGGATTACTGTATTAATGTTGCTCACTAACTACATTTTTAGGTGCGGAATCAAAAACTAATCACATGATCACATCAAGTTTTTCAGCTATACAATCTCTGTTTCCTGAGGAAAAAAAAAGAAAGAAGTGTATAGGTATTTAAATAAAACACTAAAATGGAAGAGGTACAATTTAGCTCCGAAAACTCAATAAAGAGCATATAATAAAATCAAACTTAGTTTGCCCATGGTTCCAAGGTTAAGAGAAAAGCTATCACGACTCCTCTTACGGTAATTTCTACCCTGCGAGCTTTCTGTTTAAACGATATTGATAGCACTGACCGAGTGGGAGCCGCACACACCTCTCACTGCACTGTCTCAATTGTGAGCGCACAAACAAGTGGCCACGTAGCTGGAAATGAGGGCAGTCGTAATCAGTTGCCATGTCTTACTTCAGCGAATCCGTGGTAAGCTGTGGAGAAAAAAAAACTTGACGTGCTACAAAAAAACTTTTGGGAAATTTTGGAATCAGCATGGCAATTTTGAAATGTGTGGATCAGAATAAAAATCGAAACCAACAGAATTTCTTCCAATTATTTGCTAGTGTTATTTTTTGCTCATTTGCACCAATGAAACACTTTCACAATCTATTTAAAGGCTTTAAAACTAAATACAGGACTGAAATGCCATCTCTCTCTCTCTCTCTCTCTCTCTCTCTCTCTCTCTCTCTCTCTCTCTCTCTCTCTCTCTCTCTCTCTCTCTCTCTCTCACACACACACACACAACAAAAACTTTTTCATGCACTCACACACAACTGAAACGCTGTCATGTACACCACTTAAACTCTCTCACACAGCACTGAAATCCTCTCACACATCATACTGAAATAAAATTACATAATATACCGAAATCTGAGTTTCAGCAGTACGTTGGAGATATTTCAGTAGGGTATGTGAGAGCATTTCAACAAGTGTGAAACATTTCATTGGTGTGTGATCAACAACAACAAAAATATCTAAACTGTGCCAGTTTTTCAGTCGTGTGTATGACAGCATTTCAATGGTGCGCGTGAGAGACAATCCTGAATTACATCGCTGACAGCCCTTCACACAAATCACAGCCTCTCACATACAGAGTGTGACAGCAGCAGCGATAATTCGCCGCCTTCAACACCTGCCTCGCCTCACACTCGCACCCCCCTACGCCGCTAAATGGCCCGTGACGTCCCCTCGGGGAACGACATCTTCTCTCTGCCGGCTGAGTGCACCGTGACGGGACGGGGCGGGGTGGGAAAGGGTGAAGGTCAGCGGCAGGTTGCATCAGTCACGGGAGCGCGGCGCCGGCGGGATAACGAGCCTCGCAAAGCCACGACAGACGACAGAGTCGCTTTTGACCTTCCTGGCTGCAGGAACGGGCCGGCGGAGATTAATGAGGACCACCACCACCACCGCAGTGAAGACACTTGGCCCCTGCGTGGAAAATCTATACTAAATGATAAATAAAGTCGTACTCTTTGAAATTTGGCCAACAGTCTCACAAGAAAATAAACCGTAAAGACGTGGCTCACAAGTATTGGACACGAGGGACCGGCATTTTCTTTTTGTCGGAAAAGGTTGAGAGTGATAAAGGAAGGCTCTCGCGCCGCTATCTTAAACTAAACTGAACTGAAACCATCTTACGCGCACTACTGAAACGCTCTCACATTCAACTGATATGCTCTCATACACGCTATTAAACACACTCTCAATCACATTAATGAAACGCCCTCACATGTGCAACTGTTTTTTTTTCTCTTTTACATTTAGCAAATGCTCTCACACATTAAAACTACTGTAACGCTCTCTCTTTCTATCTCTCTCTGTCATGCACACAACTGAAACACTCCCATTCTAACTAGTGAAACATTGTCTCAAACACAAATGTAAGGCTCCCATGCACATCACTCTTTCACGAACACTACTGAAACTAGGTATGGAAGAGGGCCAATACCAGGTATCAGTATCGAGCCGATACTAGCCGTATTTTAAGGTACCGATAGTGATGGACACATGAAGCTTCATGAAGCACTTGTGATCATTTTTGACTCCTCGAGATGCACTCTTGGTTTAAAGATCATTTTCTAATTGCACAAGCCTTTATCTTTAAACCAAGTGCACCATCTCGAGAGATAAAAAATATCACAAGTGCTTCAAGTTCACGAAGCGTCATTTTCCCATCACGATACCAGCCATCGATAAAAAAAAAAGATACGGAATGAGTCCTCTTTGCCAGGAGCTGACACCGTTCTGCGGCAGTTTGACACATTGGCAAATCAAAATCTATGTCAGAAAGAAAAGGCTTTGGTTCACATTTTCTGCCATTGTGTTCAATAAAATTATATAAAATAAAATATGACAAAAGGATTACAGATATCGGCACTTGCATTGGTATTTGTTTTGAAAAAAAGTGGTCATGAACATCCCTAACGCAAACACGACCGACAGCACTAATGAAACCCTCTCACACACTCTTATACATATCGGATATAAATGGATATAAATGGAGCTGCAGCAAAGACGGACGCTTACTGAAGCATCGTGTTGAATGGGAGATTCCGAGGTCTGCTGACAACAAGGCAATCTTTTGGGTTACAATTAGAAGAGACGAAGGGCAGCGAGAAAACAGAAAGTGGAGACCGCGGAGAGCAGCATCAGACTGCAGCAACAGGGCGCGCTAACATTAGCATGAATGGTTTATTGCCGATGATGCAGCAATCTGCCGGAGTTAGCCGGAGTGGATCAAACGGCGGCGTTGATAAGGCGTTAATGAGAGGGAGGAGACTGAATATGAATGCAGCACGGGCAGCTGGATTGAAACGGTGTCAACTTTCACAGAGAGCGGCCCAAAATAGACACGGTTCCAATCCGGAGGGTGGGGGCGGGGGTGGTGCTGGTGATGTTGGTGGGGCGCCATGATGTTGAGGGTCTGTCGCAATATTTCACCTCTCAATATGGAACCAGAAAATAAATAAATACAAAAACATGGCCTGATGGTTTGTGATGTGAAAAGTCCTCATGGAGGAAAAGGCACACAAACGTCCCACGTGATTCACAAGAGTTCATTTCAGCGCGCGGCAACGGATTCGGTATTTGGTGTCACCAATTGGGTTCACCGTGATTTTGTGGTGTGCTACTCTACACCAGGAGCCATTTATTGTTCAAGCTGTCCAGATAACATTAGCTGCTTGCACAATTTGCTTCAGCTTGGCAGTGTAGTAGCTTTTTTTTTGGGTGGGGGGGGGGCTTCTATCTACTTTAGAAGAAGTGATTTTCATTTTTCTCTGTCAGGTGGCATCACAGCAAGTCACTTTACAGTCAATCCAGTTTGTATACGCAAGGGTGTTACGATGAGCGTGTGACTTTGCAATGGATTCATTTCATAAACAGGAAATACAATTCCTATAAAAAGTGAAATGCACAGTACATAATAAAAATGTGACACTATTAAATCAACTAAATTGAAGTACAATACAATGTATAAAATATACAGCACTTTGTATGCAGCGGTGGTTGTTTTCACGTTGTGTAGTCGAGGTGAAAGTCAAATTCTCCATCAGTAAAGCTTTTTATCTCCTTCCTTTGCTTTTACATTATTTTCAATCTGCTATATGTAAATGCATTTAATTTCCGTCAATGTACGCCCTTTTTATAATTCTTAGTACGTTACTTTTGTTACCTTCGCTTTGAATGCATTCTAGCTGTTTGTTTGTAAAAGAGTTTGCACTTTTGGTTGTGTGAAGCACATGGAGTTGCCTTGTGGATGAAATAAAACTGAATCGCCAGCTCGCCTTCCAAATCGTCGCTCCATCCAGTAGTACGCTTGCTCATAACGCCCAACGAGAATTCTCTGAAATGTACTTGCCCCCTCGATAAAGTTGAATTCAGGAAGGCATCTGCTTTGCAGTCAACTTTAAAGCGCCCCCACCCTCCTCCGCTCCCCACGCCGTTGACGACACACGTCCACATGCATAATCAACAAGGGGGACACGAGGAGCATTTCAAGTGGGCTGGACCAAACTTGGGGGGCTAATGTTACATTGGAAGGTGGTGGTGACCCTACCGCATCCCAAAACATGCAGTTTTTTTTTTCATTTCTCGTTTTGCCGTCATGTAATAACCGCCCCCCGCCCCCCTCTTTCTTCTGTTTCCCCTTACAAAAGACGCCAGATCGCGCATAAATAACAGCATGACTGTGCGTGTTTTTGCAGCCCATCCCTCCTCCTCCTCCTCCTCCTCCCTCTTCTTCCTCCTCGGACAAGCCCTTTCTCTTTTGGGCCAGCATTCAAAGCGTCGCTAAATAAGCTGAAGGGCACTCCGCCTCCCCCTCGCCCCCCGCCTCTCCCTCCCTCCTTCCTTCCTCACCTGGCATCTCGTCGTCAAAATCCATGTCGTCCTGCGCCTCGTCTTCATTGCTCAGCGACCCGGGCATCTTGATCTCATCGCCCCCTCCTCCTCCTCCAAAAAGCCCCCTTTTAGGCTAACAATGGTGAAAGTTAACCCTCGGCACGCCGCTCTCCTCCCCCTCCTCCTCCTCCTCCTCTTCCTCGTCGTCGTCCTCCTCCTCTTGCTCTTCTCGTCAGCCGCCGCTAAATCCGCAGCTCTGTGATGAAAAACAAACATTCAAATGTGATGATCCGAGATCCGCTCGTGTGTCTCTCGAAGCAAAACAAAAAAAGACGGCTGCCAGTCTGGAAAAAAACAAGAAAAGAAACACACATTGGAGAAAGAGAAGAAGGGGGGCGGGGAGGGGGGGGGGAATGGAACACACATGCCCAGATTGTGACGTCTGGTCTGTTGCCATGACGATGCATCCCATAATTTCAGCCACAACTAGTTAGGGATGCCTGCGGAGTTCTACTAGTAGTGCAAAAATAATCATAAGAATAAAAATGGATTGGAAATAGCTGCACACACTCAGTCATGACAAAAAGAGCGCCAATTGAGGAAGCTTTCCCGCCAGACCTCCGCAGAATTGCGCGCCAAACTTCTCTGCTGCAGACTCGAAAAGAAACCCCTCCCCGGCGTGCCCCCCAACGTCCCCCAGCAGCAGTTAGTCTGCAACCAAAGGATGCTCGTCCATACACGGTCGCTCATGCATGCACGATTCAATTCGGATTTTTTTTAATTGCAGGATTTCCGAAACCAAAGCGGACGCAGACCGAGGAAGGGGGCAGGCTGCCTGGTTGCCATGGTTGCCGCAGCATCAACACGGGATGCCCCATGCACCCAAACGCACTCGCACACTTTTTCTTCATTGAGCAAGGTCAATGTTGCTTGTAATACTAACTAATAAACAATAACTCCTTAAGGTCAATGCACCAAAC